CGCGCTTCAAAACCCACCTCTCAAGTACCTTTTTAAACCATGAGGGAAGGGTCTCACCACAGAGATGTATAAGGGGCAAGCCTTTCCCCTGCTCCTAAGACTTGAACTTGTGACCTCTCGGTCACCTAGCAACACCTTAACCGGTGCGCTAATGCTCCCCTTCTAAAGTATTAAATGCCTAAAAATCATAAAATCTCATGTGGGGTTTCAACCCAAGTCAAACATGGGTAATTGAATGGAGAACATTATGATGCTTTGGGAGAAAACCTAAAAACAAATCCAATCATTTTGGGACAATATCTAGCATTAGTATGAATTGTACATTTTGCCCTTTTAGGCGAAGCCTGCATGATTTGTTTTTGTACTCCCCCTAGCAGAACTTTCATGCTAAAAGAGTTGAGGTCACATCTATATTCAGTAATTCCTTTTCAGCATGAGGGACTTGGATTGGCACCCCAATATTTTGCTCCCTAAGGATTCAAGAATCACCTGAAGTAATTACTTTGTTATCATGTTACTTTCTATTTTCTATTTTTGAAACCTAAAAACTATGCAGCATGGAAATTATTTCGTGAAATGTACGTTTTCGTTTTGAAAACTCTACGGAAACTCTTTGGAGACTCTCGAAGCAAGCATTTTTTGAGCAAAAGTTGATGTTTCCCGTTTCCCGTTTTTTCATGATTTTTGCGATTCCGTGCAACATAGCATAAAAACAATATAATGAAAACTAAAGGTAGTAGTTTTGAACTTTGTAAAAATAGTTTTCCAAGTTAACTTTATTCAAGTAAGACCAATTTTTAATTCATTTAGATCATATATCATATGGCTTGTGAAAATGTAAAACCAAAAACTGAAAACAGACAATGATACAAATGGGTCACCAAGAATCACAGATGTGCAAACTCATAATGTGGTAATCATCCTAACCTTTCATGCTCTTCTCTCAATTACTTGTCCATCATATGAAACCAATAAAATCAGATTAGCCTGTTTGCATTCTAACCTAGTTTTTTCTCACTTTCTTCCCTCCTCATATGAATGAGGAACGAAATATATCTTACAGAACTTTCGATAATGTAAGCTCCCTTTACCTTCATACGAATAGCAATGCACTAAAGCATCTAAATAGCCCAAAAGCTTCCAAGCCTTGTCAACCGCTTCATCAAATACTGTCTCTTGATCATCCTCCATATTCAAGCCAACTACTTCCACCACAACATTGCCTTCAAGAGATTGCCTTATCATCTCAGCTACACTCTTCAACCTCTTGTCGTCCCCCACTAAGACTAATCTGATGAAAAAAACATACCAACAAAAAGTCCGATAAGTTTTTTATGGAATCATATATAGATACTAATAATATGGATTCATTTTTCTTTTACTAACCTAGATATTTGTCAGGTAATGTATTTCTATATAATTCTTCATCTTCTGTTTCTCTTACACTATGTAATGCAAGAATAAAATAAAGAGCCAAGAGTTTCATTTTAAAATGTCAACGAAATAGATGGGAAGTCTAATACTGAACAATTGATATTATTGTTTATAGTTTTGTAGTTTATAGAGGTGAAATGCTGAAGAACTGATACGATCTAGCTTTGGCTAGCCACATTTTAGGATAGGGGTCGCATTGCAAATGGATAACTTTTATACTAATCTGAAAAATTGACTAGAGATCATGTATGCGGACCATGTGGTATATAGGCTGCATCTCTTCTAGTCTTCTAGAACTCACATATTAGCAAAATAAGATCCAATAATCGGCAACTTTCTACAGCATAAGCATTGGGGTGGGGGGTGGGGGGGGGGGGGGGGTGAGACAAAGAGGAGTACTGGCAGCCACGCTGAGCTAAATGGTAGGCAATATTGTTGCAGATATTGTCACCATTGGATGTAAGCAAAACCTTCTTTCCAGGATTTCCCATCCTTTAAACAGCAGAGGGCCTGGAAATACATAAAACAATCCATAAAACGTCAAATACGAGTAGAACAGAACGACATCTTCGAGTCAGTAAGCTGACATAAATTCGCAAAATTGAGAAAGAAAATTGCGAAATGAATAGGATTTGTTTGTGTGTTTATCACCTCAGTAGGAAGAAGAAGAAGGGTGTAAAGTTTTAAGGTGTACAGAGAGTTGATTTATTTAGGAAGGATAAGAAGATCATCATCAGGCGGCGGCGTAGGAGGTTAACGGTTCAAGCACCTATGACAGAATAGAATCAAGTACCAGCAGACCCATCTATTATTCAAGCGTTGTCGGTTGGCACCTACCTGATAGACTCATAGCTTATCATTTTTTTTTATTAATAATGTCTCATATTCTCATGCGTAACACGATTATTAATACGGAATAATATGATTTAGAAAAGGTAAAAAAATATGATTTAGATATGAGTTCACTAAAGTAAAATATTGTGGATCATACAATTATTTCTAAAATTGAAAATTGACATGCATTTTAAAACAATTGAAAAAACAAAGTAAGACATATAAAATTGAGCTATTCTTAGTGTGCACAAAATATGTACATAAATGGTACATTGCTTGTGTGCACAAGCAATTAAGAGAATTTTGACATCAAATTCCACCCTTTTTTCAAACAAATTGTTTGTGTACATAAGTAATTAGGGAAATTTTGTGTATGTCTACTACACTAAGAAATTTTAAATGAAATTGGAGAATGAGTAGTTATAACCTTTTTAACTGAGATGTGACTAATCATCTCCAAACACTTGCTCCAATTAAGCCATTGTGAGTGATGTGCTGGCTGTCATTCCTACCGCTCACTTTCATATAAAAATTCAATACCAAAAATTGAAAATAATATAGAGTAATAATCTCAATTATTGTTAGAAAGCTTATAATGATTTAAATAATTGATTATTTAGACAAAAAACAAATTTTAACTACCTTATGTAAATAATAATCTCACTTGACCAACTACATTTTCAGTCTATTAAACCTAAGTATCATACTATAATAATTTGAACTATCATATGTCGACCTTTATTACATGAAAAAAAAAGTAAAGGAAAATTTTTCATAGGTAAATAAAATGATAGGAAATTATTATAGAAATTTATTTTTTACTATAATGAACTTTATGGGTAGTTTGTGGAATTAGAGAATATTAAATATATAAATATACACTACAAAGAAATTATATAAATTTCAAAATTGAAATTATAAATAATATAAAATATAGAAATAAAGAGAGTAAAAATGCCAATATAATAGTGCAAATTACGTACAAATTCAATTTAAAAAATGAAAGACTGGATTTTTTAATGGAAGAAAGTGAAAAAAATTAATAATAATAATAATAATAATAATAATAATAATAATAATAATAATAATAATAATAATAATAATAATAATAATAATAATAATAATAATAATAATAATAATAATAATAATAATAATAATAATAATAATAATAATAATAATAATAATAATAATAATAATAATAATAATAATAATAATAATAATAATAATAATAATAATAATAATAATAATAATAATAATAATAATAATAATAATAATAATAATAATAATAATAATAATAATAATAATAATAATAATAATAATAATAATAATAATAATAATAATAATAATAATAATAATAATAATAATAATAATAATAATAATAATAATAATAATAATAATAATAATAATAATAATAATAATAATAATAATAATAATAATAATAATAATAATAATAATAATAATAATAATAATAATAATAATAATAATAATAATAATAATAATAATAATAATAATAATAATAATAATAATAATAATAATAATAATAATAATAATAATAATAATAATAATAATAATAATAATAATAATAATAATAATAATAATAATAATAATAATAATAATAATAATAATAATAATAATAATAATAATAATAATAATAATAATAATAATAATAATAATAATAATAATAATAATAATAATAATAATAATAATAATAATAATAATAATAATAATAATAATAATAATAATAATAATAATAATAATAATAATAATAATAATAATAATAATAATAATAATAATAATAATAATAATAATAATAATAATAATAATAATAATAATAATAATAATAATAATAATAATAATAATAATAATAATAATAATAATAATAATAATAATAATAATAATAATAATAATAATAATAATAATAATAATAATAATAATAATAATAATAATAATAATAATAATAATAATAATAATAATAATAATAATAATAATAATAATAATAATAATTTCAAACTATTAAAAATTTGAAAGTTAATAATTTTAATATCAAAACTCAATACAACAAGATGAATTTGTAATGAAACCCAAAAAGAAAAGAAATATTTTTTCTAAAAATAAAAATATGAAATAAAATGTCATTTTTTTAAACGCAATACCCTTTTAGATTAAGTTAAAATTATATACATAGTATTATAAAACTCTAATTATGAAATTTAGATATTGTTTTTTTACATCTTATAAAAAATATCAAGTTGATGATTGTGATTATTAAAAGAAGAACGAGCACAACTTAGATTACTTACAAAATATGTTTAATTTGTATTTAAAAGTGACCTGCTATAACAGGTTATACCCGATCGTGAAACATTATTAGCAAAAGGGCCATATATTTTGGATCATAGAGAAAATAATCAAAAGTCATTTCAACTTTTCAAGTTAAAACCTTTAGAGCCTACTTGTTGAGGACTCTTCGGTCTTACATGAACCAATGTGGTGAATTCTTCAAAGCGCCACATTTTCTTGCATGCAACGATTCACTATTTTTTGGTTTGAGAATATAATGACATAAATCAAAATGGCTCACTAAATTGTTTACGATTCTTTGTTATAAGGGAGCAATCAATCTATGCAACTTTGGACGTTCACTATGAGTCATCCGGAAATGCTTTAATACAGGAGTAAGACTGCGTACATCTAACCCTCCCTTATACTACTGTAGGTGGGAGCCTTTGCGGCAGAGGGATAATGATAATAATGATAATAATTTCTTGCATGCAAGTTAAGTCTTATTTCCTCTGTTTTCACTTGTTTGGAAACTATTACTGCATCGAAAGATAAGTGTCTTTTTTACTCTTACTTTCAATTTTATACATACACTGCTCCTTATCTATACAATTTTATTCATACATGTTACTCAGTGAAAATCCCACAGAAGCAGCATTTATAAATCCTTCAGCGAACACAAAGCCAGAAAGAGGAAAAGCAGAAATACACAATCATCAGCTGATGATAATGAGATGCAGATGAAGATTTAAGATTGGGGCAGCTTCTTTGAGCACTCCGGGCAGCTAAAATGACCTCTGGCCTGACACTTGGCACAAGAGGAGGATGCTAATCTCCATTTTGAGGCAGCTAATTGATAATCATGATCATCATTAGGAGGAATGAAATTGAAGGGTCTAACAACTCCAGACCCCTTGCATTTCCTGCATGCTAACACCTTCAGATCCCCACATCTTTTGCACATCCCCAGTGAACTGCTCATCATACAAATTAACAAGAGAAGAATCTTTTATACCTTCCCGATAAAGATTACTAAGACATGGAAAGAAATATAGCAATGAGTGCTACGTGTCATATAAGTAGAATGAATGGGTATATAGCAACTGGAGTAGCTAGAATGATAAGTTGGATTAGGCCAATTAAAAAAGTTGGCTATAAATTTTTGCAGGTTTTTTTACACAAAACCAATTTAGGGCAGGCCTGGGACTAACTTGGCCCCTTAGCTACACCATGGTATATAGGTTCTTGATTGAAATTTTCAGGCCTCTTCTGCTATGCCTTGTTTAGTCTAGTCTAGTAAGGTTTGATATTATGTGCGTTTTACCATGGAGTATTATTTTGTCTAATTTTGCCTCATCTGGTCTAGTCTATTTAAGTTTGGTTAGGTCTTAGGGGCTGTTTACTTGGAGCTTAATGGACTTAATGAACTTAATGATTTAGCCATTCGTTTATTGAGTTGTGTTTACTTGGAACTTAATAAAATGGATGACTTATTCGCTCAGACGAAACATCACTTATTCGCTCAGCTGAAAAAATACACTCCTCCCCGCTCAGACACGCGAACAGACACACGAAAAGACCCACTTTCCTCTTTTAACCCCGAATGATACTCCGTAGTTTCGTTTATCTTCCTTTGAACAACGAGTCCTCTTTGACGGACCAAAGAAAGCAAGGCGATCGTCTTCTTCTCGAGCAGAGTTCTTCTTTGGATCTACAACTTCACTATTCTGTATTTGTCTAGATTACTTCTGCATTTTTTTTAAAAAAATCATACTTTTATATCAATATACAATAACCATATTATATGCTCCGCTCCGTCGAATTTGAACCAGAAACAAACTTCCAAGTAATCTACTAGCTGACAATATACAAACACCCATCTTCATTCCTTGGCTCAATATTTAATTGGAATAGAAACCATACACAAACACCCATCTTCATCTTTTTTGGCTAAAGCAGAGCGCTACGAGCCTATGAGATCGATTCTGATGACAACAATTCCACTTACTAATATTTGCTGTATTTTGATTTTATAGCTTAAAATTCAATATTTATTTTCTATTCTATTATTATTAAGAACTGTTTTACTAAAAAAAAATGTGATATGTCCTATCTGGATATTACACGGTAACCACGTGTCTTTTTCTTGCAAGACTGTTATTATTTCCAATTGCCTTATTTTCAAACATATAAATTTTATTTTTCAGAACAAGTAAAAATAAATAGACAAGAGACATTCAACACTTGTTACAGACAGATAGGTTATTTGGTCATTTAACATGATTCAGACTTCTCATTCAGCACACATGATAAACAATTTGTTATCTCACTGTCACTTAATCCAGACAGACATCTTAATACAGACAGACGTCTTAATGTATTCAGGACTTAATGAAAAAAAAGTAAACAGCCCCTTAATCTGGTTTGACTGAACCGTTCAAGAGAAAATATTCATAAACATATTACTAACCTAAAAACATTATGACAAGAAATTCATGTGCATCCCTAAAATTATGTCAGCAATTAATTAATTAACTAGTATCTTGTCACACTGAGGCGTCACTTCATGTTGAATTCTCTGAGCTTTATCATCATGCTTAAGATATACGAAGTATATATCTAATGTCTACTCGTAAATAATACTTTGTTAAGCTTAATCTTAGTTCACACATTTCAATAGATATATAGCTTTAGAATATGGGTTACAACCATTGTCTCCTCCTTTGATTTCAGATCTATGTTGTATTAACAATAACAAAACAAATTGCAAAGATAGATTTGAGGAAAATATTATGAAGAACCTGCAGCTGGAGCTTGCTTTAAAGTCTTAAGTTCTAACCTGCGCTGAGGAGCAGCGAATAAAGAGTCAATCTTAGGGGCAGATATGGTTGCACACAGTAGCAAAGCACCAACGGCATAGCCTGCTATTTCACTTGCTGTTATGTGATCAAACATCTTCCTTCTTCAATTCTTTTTTGTCTTGCCTACTGTAGGAACTTCAAGTTAACCCACCAGCCACGGCAGATCTAGCTAAGAGCAAAGCTCTCATCTTTAAGTACAGGCCAACAGGTTATAAGGCCGTAAGACTGAATATGGTCTGTACTTTGCACAACACAACTTAAACATGTTATTTACTGTCTCAACAAAATGAAGTTTCCTTTTCCTTATATAGAAAAGTATTAAAAAAATGTTAAAACTACCCTTAACTTGTTGTTTGTTTAATTTGATATAAAATAGGCGTATAATTATAATATAGTTCAAGACTTAAATTTCCAAGTATATATACTAATCCGCCCCTTAAGATTGGGACAAGAGGAGGTGGTACGATTATTAAGAAAAGTGAAAAGTAGAGTTATGTGGTTGAAATTGAATTAAAAAAGTGTGAATAAAGTAAGAATGAATTACAACCTTACAAATATTATCATATATGGCATGGGACAAACGTAGTTGGGCAGGTCAAAAAGGAAAAATGGGACAAAGATAGCGGGACGGAGAGAATATATATTTTTATATGTCAACTCACAAATTTCTTTGCAGGACTGAGGTAGTATTTGGTTGATATAGGTTAATTATTTATTGGTCTTGGAATCCTTTCAAGTCTTTGAATTTATGAACTGTTTTTCTATAATATTTGGTTTTATACTTCATTAGAATTTTTAATGTTGTTTTTAAATACTCCCTATATAAAGATTAATTTTTGACACTTTGACTTGAGTAGAGAATAATATACAAAGTGAGATATATCCAGCAAGAACATTGTGGGTTGCACAACTCAAATAAGCTCTCAAAATCAAATTCTAAGATTTAAAATATATAAAGCAAATCACAAGCTTAATAACATAATAGGAATTTTACAAAAACAGTTTTTGAATTTTTTTAGAACAGTGTAATTTATTAATAAAAGAGTAAGAGCACAAAAAGTTGTTAAAATGATAAGATGTATTGTAGAATAGCTCTCTGTTAAGTTTTACTGGTTAAAATGGCAAATCATGATGGTAATAAAGTATATAAATAGAATAAATACATGGAAATAATACACTAAGTTTTCTTTTTGCACCCATGTTGCATGTGTTAGACTTCATTTGTGTAGATTATACCATATTTAACTGCACATAGACACACAAAATGCAAATCAATAGTGCCGAGATACATATATGATATAGATTAAAACCACAAAAATATTTCTCTAATAAAAATTAAATATTTCTCCAATAAATTTATGTCTAATCATTTAATGAAAAACTCATTACTGAAATCCTATGAACACAGAAAACTCTCGAGGAAGAGTATGTTTTGATTTTGGAAACTCTATGGAAACTCTCCAAACAATAGTTTTTGTACTAAAAGATTACGTTTCGTCGTTTCCTACTTTCCCTTTTCCCCATGATTTTAACATTTCTGTGCAAAATAGCTAAAATCCCTTAATCCCCATGTTTTTTACCCTAAAAGAACAAATACTTGATCTAACAGTTATAAAAGGGTTAAAATAACAGTAGTAAAGTGGCTTTTATCTATTGTTGCACGGAAACATGAGAAACACGAGGAACATGAAGGAAAACTTAAATTTTCAGTAAAATATCAACTGTTTGGAGAGTTTTCAAAGAGTTTTCGTAGAGTTTATGGAATGGAAATATACTCTTTCCCGAGAGTTTCCGTGCTTCATAGGTTTTTATTGTTCTTTTCTTTCACTTTAACATTTTAAAATATTTAATATATTTACAAAAGCGTATTCCACTTCAAGTTCCAACATCAAAAGGAGAAAAGTGTCAGATGAGTACACCAAATTGAGAGCCGTGGAGTAAAGAGTAAACAATAGTGCAACTGGGACATAGAGATACATAAAATTGAAAAATCAGTATTGATTTAGTATCAACTTGTATTAGCATGTTAAAAACACTTACTTGGCTAACGGATTAAACGAATAAAAGCCACTTGTCAACTATTTTAACGGATTAGGCAAATTTTCCCAACATCAACTATGTTTGTGATTTAAGATATGTTTAAATCATTTCTGGAGCTATTCGAAGTACATGTTGAGGGGTGAAGGAGGTGGAAATTTTCCAAATTCCCGCCGGAGGAAGCCTGTGAGGGATAATTTGCGGTGGCGCATGGGTGGTCAAAGAAATTGTTGTTGGTCAGCGTGGGGGGTGGGGTGGAATCAGACAGATTGTGGGGGAGTTTCATGGTGGATTTTTTTTTTGGTGGAGGAGAGAGAGCTGGCGACTGAAGGAGAACGAGAGTGGGAGAAGTGTTGCGGCGGTGGTTGTTCGGGTTGGTGAATGGACAGAGATGGTGAAGGGATGAGCACCAACGGCACACGAGAGGAGTCTTGAAGGTGGCGGAAGCGGAGAAAGGAATTCAGAGGAAAACTGTTAAGAATCGGATTATTACATCCTAAAAGGTCAACCTGATAGGAGGAGTAATCCAAATCTTAATATAGCACTTAATTCCTTCACACGTTTCCGGTGTGGGAATTCAACACCCCTCCTCACGATCAGACACTTCGTCTGGATCGTGTCATCATTCATTTTTTCATCGATTCGTCATTTTCATTTTTTTTATAATAATCACGTCATCATTTTTCATAAGGGGACCCACACCTATTAAGACTCGGGTTCCATTCTAAAAGGTCAACTTGATAGGAGGAGTAATCCAAATCTTAATATAACACTTAATTCCTTCACACGTTTCACGTGGGAGATGGAAAAAGATTTCTCGGCAGAGAAGAAAACCAGGGCGAGGCCAGTTATCCGGAGGGAGCGGCAGTAATCGGAGTGGGCGGCTACTAAGGGTTGCGCTTTACCGTTCACTATACAAACGCTAATTTTTGCTAAGTCAGGGTTTTAAACCTATGTTGTAAAAACCGGACCGGAGAGTGACCCGGCCATATGACTGGGTCACGGGTTAACCCGGACCCGGTGGGTCAACCCGGTCAACGCCGGAAAACCGGTCAATGATTATACGTCTATATAATAATAGTAAACATATAATTATATATAAAATTATAATAAAAATTAGTTGTTATTCATTATAATAAACTAACAATACTACTTATTAAGCATTTAATACACTCTTATAATATTTCAATGTATATTTTGATCTTATAAAAATATATAATGATATTTTTATTTTTATTTTACATCTATATTATAATTTGGCATGATGTTCATTCTTAAATAAATATATAAATATATTACGTAGTTTTTCTTTTTAAGGTATTGAAATTGCAATTTTATTGGTATAAAAAATGCATTAAAAATAAAAAAGAAATTACTTTTTTTGATAAAACATCCAAAAACTGGGTTTTACCGCGTTTTTCGAGTTTCTTGGGTCCGGGTCTTGACTGGGTTTTCCCGGGTCAGCCGAGTTTTTCCGGTTTTTGACCATTTCCGGGTTTTGAAAGAACCGAACCGGTTTTTTGTCCGGGTCACCGGGTTCCGGGTCAACCTGGTCGGGTCGGGACGAGTTTTTAAACATAGTTTTAAACGTGGTAAGACTTGTTTGTACAAAATTAACCCTGATTTTTCAACTTTATGTACTCATCCGACACTTTTCTCAATCAAAAGTATAGTTATGTTGAAACTACCAAAAGGCAGCGTGTAATTGACAAAATAAAAATGAAATTGATTTGAAAAAAAAAAAAAAACTGAATGTCCATACAATTATAGTGGATTTTAGACGTATGTTCACATCAATGTTTTTTGCTGAATATCTATGATTTTAATTCCTTGATTTCCTTAAATGTTTTCTGCTGAATATCTATGGATTTAATTCCAATTTTGTTCACAGAATAAGAAAATAATGAAAACACAAGTTTACCGATATTTAATAATTGATAAACATCCAATTTGGCAGATTAAATTCTATTCACAGAATTGGTCATCCAACTTTTCTAAGTAGAAGCCTAGACGGATAGATCCGATTCTTAGCCAAGAAGAGCTTATCCCTGCGAATTTCAAATTCAATGGATCGATGTAAAAAAATGTCAAGTGGAAAAGGCCTACCACTGAACTTAAGCTCAACACAGATGCTGCATTCTTACCTGGGAGGGTGACTGGTGGCGCTATCATGAGGAACCAGACCGGGTAGATGTTGTGAGCTATTATAAAATCGACTCAGTTGGTTTTCAGGTGGAGTCTGACTCTGCTAGCTCTATTTCGTTGATGAAGGACGAAGGTGGCTCAGGTAAGTGGAATCGTTGGCTTGGGATAGTTAAGGATAAGGATACGCAGGGAAAGCTCCAAAAAAAATTCCACTTTTTAACTTCTTCAACTTTCTTTATTCTCTAAGGTGGATCATCTGCCAATTCAGGCCCGAAGGAATTACCATACTGATCTCTATGAATTTCCCAATAGTGTTTCTATTCACAAACACCATATTGCTATCTACAACCACCCATTTAGATAAATTTATTTAGTTTCCAAATTCCAATCATACCCTTTTAAGGGGTGTTTGGATCTGATTCTTAAAAATGCTTGAAGGAGCAGAAGCAGAAGCTGGAGTGTTTGGGTGAAAGTGCAGAAATGATTCTAGTGCTCAAATTTGCTCCTAGAATCAGTTTTTTTAAAAACGGGGGGTGACCAGTTTCTGAGAACTGATTCTGATTCTGCTTCTGTTCTAAAACGAAGCAGAAGCAGAATCAGTTCCATACACCCCTAACATAAACATAACTTAACGTCGATGCCCCGATTCAACTAAATAAATTGCGTTAGCTCCCAATTGGTAAAGCATTGCTTCATTATAACAAGACCAAGTTACTCCACAAAACACAAGTTTTCTATCAAAGAACTTGACATAAATAATTCACTTTTCAATATTTTATTAGGCGATTTTGTCTATGATCTGGTAAATTTACCAATTCTACACTTTACACAATTCTGATAGTGCCACTGTTGCTGTCGTGAATGTGCCTAATTTGCCATCGACTCTGTCACTCAAAGAGAACGCCGCCGCCAACGCATCGGAGAAAAAATGGGCTGTAATTTTTCGCAGACTCTTTCAGCTTCTTCCTCAATCCGGTTTGATCCCCCTAAGCTTTCTTCAGGACCGCCAAATATGTCAGCTTTATCCTGTCCCGCGGTTTGATTAGAGAGCTTCTCGCTTGTGCTGGATTTTGATTTCTGCAACCTCTTACCTGTGTTCTGGTCCATCTTCGTTATCCCCGTTTCGATGTCCTCAGCTTCAGAGGTTTGAAAGCTTATAGTGGAAAAGATGAAATTAAATTTAGAAATTCACCTCCGTTTCTCAATCTAAATAAAAAGGTTAAATCGGAATTTAGAAATTAAATTTTGACCGGAGGCTGTGGAAAGAAAAAAAGTGGAGAATTACCCTTCCCAATATTCGGTTTTAGCTGTTTGTATTTTCTGATAATGTATTTTCTGATAATGTATAAAATTGGGTCAGGTCTAGCCCCCCATTTTCAACTAGTTTATTTTCATTTACGTTGGTTTTCATTTGTTATATTTTGAGAAGAAATGCCTTCTCTGAAGAGGTTTTGGCATGGTCCCCTCTTCTTTTGTATTTTTTCATTTTTTTAATAAAACTTTGACAAATGTTTTTCGACATTTGGCCCACCGATTTTGATGACTTGCCTACCGGGTTTAAAAAAAATATAAACGTCTAAAGGAATAGTTATATTATTTTAACTAAAGAATTATACAGGATAAAATGCAGCATTCATATACTCCATATGTAGTATCAATTATTTCAAATTATTGGTATTTTTTTATACAAGTAGAAATAAATTACTATAACGACAATTGGCTGGTTTAATTTTTTTAAAGGGAAATTATCATTAACCTCCCTTGAGGTTTCATGTATTATCATTTAGGCCCCTGCACTATTGAAAATATGCACTTACCCCCTCCCTATCCTTTAATGAAAGTGTATTAACTCCTAATTACGTTTAGCAAGAGTATGAATTTAGTTTTATAAATTTAATCTGATTATAAATAAATTTATCTGTATTAAGAATTTTTCCACCAGAACATACTTTTGTCGTGGGAACGCGTACTTTATGATGAAATAATCCTTATTATTGACAAATTTATTAGGTGCATAACTACATCTACATGTGAGTAAAATTATAGGACTAGTAGCAGACACAATCGAAAGGTACAAGCTTAAAACAATAAATCTCTAATACTTTTAAAAGTTTGAAAATATATCTGAGATTGTAGAAATCTTGGTGAAACTTTTGTAACGAGGGAAAGATGCCAAATAATGAGCAGGGTTATTTTATACCTAAAACAGATGTTGGTGAAGGACTTTTAGGAGACTATATTGTTACCTATTGGAAATTTGTATGAGAAATACTTACTTTGGTCAATTTTTTGTAAGTAATAAACTTTTGTCCTCGACTTTAGAATTCCCGACATTTCATATTTTAAGTATTGTGAAATTGACATTTGTCGTCCTTTTACTTTGATTTTGTCATCAAAAGTGGAGGTCTAAAAATGTTAACGACCGTGTTTGATAATAGTAGTTGTTGCTAGCTCATACCCGGTTGAATCAGCAGATTGATAATAGCGGATTACATTAGCTTTTTAACTAACCGCTTTCATTAGTGGTTTGAAATAAAATGTTAGTAACTAGGTAAAAATTTGCAATTAGCTTTTCAGACGTAAAATGACCGTTAAAAAATTAATTTAAAAATTTATATATTTAAATTAGTTTTATTTCTTTTTTATTTTTAATTTTAGATCGGGATCGAGACCAGACCGGTGAAAAAAGGCCTCAGGCCTCACTTTATGGGATCGGGATTGGAGTCCATGTTTTGACCCTGTTCATTTTTTTTATTAAAATCATTGAGAACACTTTAAAATGGGCTATATTCCATTTAAAGTAGAAATATAGGTAGTTAAAAAAATATTGGGAGCGAACCTAGACCAATTAGGGGATTGGAACTGAAGATAAGGTCACGGGCCGCCCTAATTATTTAGCACTAACCAATTTGGGTGTGGAACCCGTCCTAAACTATAATGTATGTACTAATATTTTAATTTACATGTAAACATGTTCATATTTTGTCAAATATTTAAATCTACAAGTTATTATTATACCTATATATAGTGATCTCATTTTCAGTGATAACAAAGAGTGTCTAAATTGGGAATTTTCTTGCGTTCAATTTTTAATGGTTAAATCGAGTAGGAAACTTCACTTTTGAGTCGGTTTGGTTCATTTATGTTCATTTGTTTCAATTTTTGTCAAATTTAGCATATCTTGATCACTTTCTATTGAGTAAATTTACTCACTTTACAAATTGAAATGCATAAAACGAACTACCTAGAGTAAGGTCAGTTTTGGTCATTTTTTTGATTTGGTTCGACTTCCAATAGAAAGGTCTTTAATATGGACAAGTTTATTATTTACCCGACCAGATTTGTGGTTGAATAGAATTACAATATTAAAAGTAGACTCATAGAAAAATTATGAAATTATATTCATAATTTTCTCTGAATATAGATTAAGAGTTATTTAACCATCATTAAAGGATATAGAGGGGGGTAAGAGTATATTTTTTATAGTATAGGGGTGTGATTGATAATGCATCAAACCTCAGGGGGTCAATGATAATTTCCCTTTTTTAAATGCAATACAAAAGCTTCCAACATAGCACTTCACCCTATAATTTCTAAAATAACAAGTCAAAAACAAAATAAAGTTTAAGATCAAGCGAATGTAGAGCCCGTTTGGTAGCACGAAAATCGGCTGATTTGGTTGATTCTGCTGAAATTTATGAAGTTCTGGCTGAAGTGGTTGCATTGACTGATTCTGTTGTTTTAAGAAAAAAATATTTTTAAAATATATTTTATTAATAAAATAAAGAAAAAAATTATATGTAAAAATAATTAAAATGGTCATCTACACTAACTTCAGTCAATACAGCCAGAAAAGTAACTTCAACCTTACTTTTCTGCTTATTACACAATTCGGCGCACGAAAGCACAAATTACTTGTTTGCTGAAAAAGTTGTCTGATAAGCCAAAACAGCGTTGTCAAACGGCCTCATAAAGTAGATCTCAATGAAAACGTCATCAGAAAGCCAATTTCCTTCGTCTTACTATATTTCTTGCAAATTACTTTTCTTTTTGCAAACGTCATCAGAAAGCCAATTACTTTTCCTTCAATATATCTTTTTGCTTAAATATTGAATGATCAACATTCAACACACACCTCTTGCTCTTGCTTAGCTAGACACAATAACAATTACCTCCAAAATATTTTAATATTTAAAACCTGAGAATATCAAGTTTATACTCCCTCTGACCCACTAACAATTTTTTAATGTTTTAAACCTGAGAATATCATGTTTATACTTCCTCTGCCCACTAACAATGAGACAAGAGGGAGTGACACGCAGACCAATAAAAATTGATTTATGTGGTTGATATTTGATTGATAAACTAAGAATAAAGTAAAAGTAATTTAGAGTCACACAAATTTTATCAAATTTGGTAATCACAACAATTTTACCAAATTTGATATGAACAATTTTAGTGGGATGAACCAAAAAGGTAAAATGGAAATATTAGCTGAACGAGGGGGTACTATCTATCAAGCACTTCGTCGAACACTTTACTACAAGTTACTTACAAAAAGAATAATGAATTACATGAACCAAACTAATGCTCGAGTCAACGAATAATATAGTGCAAACTAAACATTAGAACACATGATTAGAGAAATCATCATGTCAGGCCGGCCTGACCGGGAGAGCCGTCCGGCCGAGCCCTTTTGACAACCTTACCGGTAGAATTTTTTGATGAATTTTTTTGAGCATGTTTCTCATCAAGTCTAGTTTGTCCATACCAAATTTCAGCTCAAAATTCGATCGGGAAGGCATTCAAATATTTTTTTGAAGTTGACTGCGTTTTTATATATATATTTTGACGCAGTCAACTTCAAAAAATATTTGAATGTCTTTCCGATTCAATTTTGAGCTGAAATTTGGTATGGACAAACTAGACTTGATGACGAACATGCTCAAAAAATTTCATCAAAAAATTCCACCGGGAAGATCGCCAAAAGGGCTCGGCCGGACGACTCTCCCAGTCAGGCCGGCTTGACAAGAAGAGTTCTCCACATGATTATATGTATATCGAAGGTTTAATCATATTATGAAATTAAAATAAACAAAAACAGAAAATATCGTTACCTCAACAAAATAGCAGTAGTTTGGCGGTAGATAGTAAATAGTTTGGGAAGTAAGAATGTTTTCTTTTGGACAGAAATTTGCTGGTCTGATCTGGTCTGGTTTGGTCTGGTCTGATCTGGTCTGGTCTGTTTAAGTCTGGGGTCTGGTCTGAATTGGTCTGGTCTGGTCTGGTAAACGTCTGGTCTCTGTGTATTTTATAACTATCCAAGTCTGGTCTGGTCCGGTCTGGTCT